TATGAAGTACTCATACTTACATGTATTCAGAACTAGTTAAAAGACTCTCCCATGATAATCTGGCAAAATAAAACAAGTATCCTAATTTGCAAAGGTCTCCGTGGATTTTGGTGTGTGTGCTACATCCATGATCAAACCCAAACGCTCCTAGGATGGGCTGGGTTAAGGTTTTGGTAGCCTGCTTCATTATCAGACGTTTGGTAATAAGCCTTACCAATAGAATAGCACTTCTTCAGCATCAGTCATTTCTCAATTGGTTAATGGATCAATGATTTTTCATCATGAATGGTGTGAGAATTGGGGAAAACTCTTCCTCCACCAAACAGGAATTAGAATGGGTCCATGCAGAACAAAAGAGGTGGATGTCTGGCAATTGCAGGATCCCACTGCTCAGTGTAGACACATGCGCAAAACTCCTGTCAGAGCTCATATGCAAATGGAGGAGTCTACACTGGTCAGATAACCTGGGGAAATGCCAGACATCCACTTTTAATGGTATGAATAGACTTAGGACTACACAGCAGAAACACCCACCTGAGATAGTGAGTTTCAATCTTAGAAACTCCTCTTTCAGAGCCTTCTCAATGTGACAACAGATCCCTCTGTGTGGCTAGCCGGGGAAGCATGAGGTTGGGGAACTGAGCGGTTTCTCTGTGCCATTGAGCTTGCACATCTCTGTCTAGACATGCCTACAAGCTATGAAATTCATGCTTTGTTGGAATAATGGAATTCTTTGGTCCTTGGTTTTATGAAAGGCAATATTTTCACAATCTTGTCAATGTAGACACTGGCAAATGACTTCAAGCTGGAACTAATGGCACAGGGACAAATTAAATACTAGATGGAAAACTCTACACCCTCTGAACTACCTGGAGTCAATGTAATGACCAGGCCAGATGTTGGGCCAACGAGGTGAGGTCAACCCAGAGATATCAGAGCTGAAGCTTAACACCAGACCTTGGCTCTTCTGACTGACCCACACACTGCAAACCAACAAATCTCCATCTTAATGGCTGATAGGTGACAATAAAGACTTTAGAGATGGACCGATGACTTTACCCAAACTATAGCCCTGGACTTAAGATCCTATTAAAAGTGTTGATAAGGAGAACCAGCTGGTGACTACTGGTGACCAAAAGAAAACATTATGTAAAAGAAAAATCAAGTCTGAATCCTAGCTGGTTTTATTAGATTCCGGACACAGTGGACCCACTGCTGGTAAGCTCCACAGCTTCTGCTTCACCACATGGTCTGGATGGACTGGCTCAGCTGATGGGTGTGCTCTGTATCTAGTCTGCCTTTGTCCTGCTCAACTCCAGTTTAGTATGACGTGACACACAGAGTTCACTCGAGACCCCGAGGACACATGGAAATGCAGATTATGGGACTAAAACCAACTTCAGATTGTCTACACAGCAAGACTCTTATGTAAACTTTGTTAATATCTCTCAAGGAGAGCTGACCTCAGCCAGACTGGATGTTCCAGGTCCGCCACAAGGAACCTGGGGTCCATGGCCAGGGTCAGGTGCAGGAAAAGCCATTTGTTTAGAACAAATGATGAACCAGCAGCCCTCCCCATGACCATGTCTAAACTATGTGAATAGTATGGAAGTGGCTCCAGAAAACCTGCCCTTGGTCAAATCTTATGGCCAAAGACAATCACCAAGGAATCTACCTGGTCCCTGCCGCCATCAACTCAACCATGCTCTTCCGATTAGCCATCAGTGACAGGCTACATGGAGCCCATCAGCATGGCTTACATGGAGGAAACAACCCGTATTACCCTATTTTTAAAGTTTTTTTTTTTTTTTTTTTTTTTTTTGCAACAAGCTTAAGGCTCTGTTCACAAACTCCATCAACTGCCACACAGTGAGAATTTATGGGGAGGTCTTAAAGTACACATATAGTTGCAAAAGTTGGAAAGTTTACTGATTCTAATGGAAAGGCTTATTCACAAATCCAATACATCTTCAAATTATACTTTAAACTTAGTTAACTTCTAGAAAAAGAAAATTAAACTGCTCTTTAACAATAGAAGAGCATTATATTAAAAAAACAAAAACAAAAACCATTGGCACTAAACCAGTATGCTATTAAAAAAAACAGAAAAAGTGATATGAATGGAAAAGATTGCCTAAAACGCATATCCTAACTTACCACAGAAATATAAAAGTTTATATTCTGAAAATATATACTGTATTAAAGTCTGTAAGCATTTCAACCAAAATCTGCAGAAAGAACTAAGCAACACTTATCTACAACAAAAATATACATGCAAGACAAACCCCAAAGATGTATCTACAAAGGCAAAGTGTAGATTTTTAAAGATTTTACAAAACCATTTACAGAGAATAAAATAAAATACTTAAGAAATCTCATTTTGAGTCTTAAATACTGTGTATATTAGTAAGAGTATCTAGACTAATATATACAACAGACCAAATATCTAAATACAGAAACACAGAAGAGAAGAAACTCTGTATTTTAAATATCCACTTAGGAAGGTTGTTGCTGTTTCTATTTGTTAAAAAATTTTCTACAGAAACTAGATTGGAAAATTACATGAATGTGACTAAATTCCAAATTAAAAAAAAGTTTATAAACTTTCAAAAGTGTTTTTTAAAGGTTTAAAAGTTTTTAAACCAACAATTAATAATGGGAAATGCAATTCAGCATTCAGTCAAGGCTATTTTTAAATGTGACTATTCAGAGATACAATTGCATTGTTCAAAGTCTATTGTGATTATTATTTTTCCAACCTCAAACTAAACTTCATATGGGGAAAATGTATTTTCATGCTTTGCAGAGAACATTTCCTAGTTTAAATCAATACCAAACAAGAATTAAGATTTTTTTAAATCGGTTCTCTACTTCCTTACCCAATTTCATTCTTAGCAAGAAATTTTGACAGTTGTCACCCACAGACATTATTTCTAAATATGAAGAGACACACGAGTATGACATTCACGTTAGGCTGTGGTTTCTGAATAGTGAGGAGGTCTGTCCATCTTAACAAATGTTTTAGAAAAAGTCCTCTGGGAGCAAAGCTATTAGCTCCAATAACTCCATCAGAAGATTCTAGGAGTAGCCATCATGAGGATTGGAGCAGAGAGGGAAGGAATGTTTCAAGACCTGGCTAAGAGATGGAGAAGAGTGGTTTGCTAGGGTTCTTGGCTAAGGAGAGGTACCCTCAAATTCCCACCCATGGCTGCTTGCTTAGGAATTCCGGGATGGAGCTGGCAAAACCAGTTACAATTCCTCAAAGACCCACCCAGGCTCTTTGAAGGACAGATATGGGGGTGAGGGAGAAAGGCAGGGTTGGGGGGAAAGGACAAGGGATCCTGTAGGTGGAGAAACGACACTGGGGTATAGGTTAAAGAAGGAGATCTAAGCCCTATCTCAAGAAAGTTAACAGGACAAATCTTGACACAATCATAAATCTGGTATTTTCATCACAAGTCAATTTGCTATAATTTACTTGGATTTCACCTACACCTTACCAAAACAACTATCTAGAAAGTGAAAACTCCTATAGACTGTCTACACTGTAGCAATCAGATTTACTAACTTTTGCCTAGTTGTGGAACTCTGCTCTTGAATTAACTTTATGCAAATGACCAAACTATAGACTATCTTTTTTAAATACCCTATCCTCAACACATTCAGAGGTTTGTAGCTCGTGATACATCTGAAGCTAAAATATTTCTGTTCTCCAGCAAGAAACAAAGATGGGCATGGATGAAAAGGGATTTCTCAGCACCCCCTTTGCATTTCCAGTAAGAATCCTGACACTGTTTCTGAAGATGCTGAACATCACCTTCCTGATCAGAGGCTGAGCAGAAAGCAAGGGCCCAGCAACAATTCTCTGCCCCACATATAACAAGGTTAACAGAAGGCTTTGGGAAAGTGTCCACGAGAGCAACCCAATGGAGAAGAGACAATAGGCACTGGGATGGAAACACGTGTTTCCCAGTACTAATTACCTACACCTCAGGTGCACAGTTCCTACAGGATTCTCCAGGGACAAAAGAGACCCACAAAAAGACTTTAATTCCATACACCTTTGGCTTAACAGAGCCAACACAGGTGTCCTCTTCTGGCTCCCCATGGCCAACATGGCTCCAAGGGAGGGCCAAGAGAGGCTGGAAACCCAGAGGAAAAGAGGAGGGAGAATAAGGGATACTCAAGGTTGTGACACAAATGGAAGAATCCTGTCATCCTGAGAGTCTAATTTTCTCTGAGTGTGTGACCTCTAACAAGTGTAAGCCTCATGAAGAACAGGTTTCTTCCACTTCTCTGTTTACACCTTTATCTTTACCAACCTAAACCAAACCTCTCCTTCCTGGCAGCAGATGCAGGGGCTCTAGTCTAATGGCCCAAATACAGTTGCTACAGGGACCCTGCCATCAGGGGCTACTGTGCCTTTATGTGAGTAAACAGCTAGGTAAAAGATGTATCATTTGGACTGGGAGCTCTTGCCCATCTCCCTCGAAAGCCAAGCCACAATACACTGTCCACATGGAGAAATGGTGTCTGAAATCCAAGTTCAGTCATTTGCCCCCAAGAAAAACATCTCACCCTGGGCACCATGCTGTCCCCAGGTATGGACTGTCCCCACCCTTTCTTAATGCCATACAACTAGGGAGTAGGTCTGTTTTAGGACCAGGTCAACCAGGGTTGAAAGGGACCTTTACTTCTTAAAGATAGTGAGTAAAGAGAAAACTCCACCATGACTTAACCTAAGGACAAGAATGAAGACCTGCTATTATGTGATTAGAGCAATGTGAAGAGGGTCCGATACAGAGCTATTCCTTTTATCCATAGAGATCCTTCTGTTCTCATCTCTCCGAATTTTCTTACTATGTGGTTCATCGCTAGAATGCACCAAACGGCAGGAACCTTGAATGGTATTTGGTCCAGGGCAGTATGAAAATAAGATTGTGTGAACAACAGACATCATAATATATAAACAAAATAAATAAATAAAATAAGTCCGAATAAAGAAAAACAGTTTCCTAGTAGTTCATGTTTTTGCAAAACTAGCTTTACATATAATACACATAAATTATCAGAATTTCCACTTACATTGTTTTAAAAATATATATTTAACAAAACCTTTCTAAATGTACAATATCTGGGTTTGCAAATCACTCAGTTGGGTTTTAAGACCAAGCCCTAATTGTCACAGAGAGTTGCATCAGAGAGGAGACTGAAGCCGGGTCTACACAGTTGCCTGCTCATTGGTCTGTGGATTCCCAAGGTTTCCTGGCATCAGATCTACCCTTAGACCAGAGAGCCAGAATGGGCTCATCTGCAAATCAGAGGCGCTATGTAGACACAGCCCGAGTCAGTAGGATGGGGGGAGCAGTCTGTCCCTCCTGGACCATGGTGGTGCATTTCAATGTGGAGAAGGACAGTGGAACCTGGCAGAGCCCTGGGAAGATGTAGCCCTCGAGAGCTCTGGGGCCAATTTGGACAGAGATGTGAGGAGGCCATGTGGGCTGCGTTTCCCACTATTATACGAAATCAAACCAATGAGGAACAACCAAAGAACACAAGGAATGGAAACAACCCTAGGTGTAAAGAGACACCCTGATGAGCTCTTGGCCAGGGTAGACCCTGGTCTCCAATGGCCAGAAACGCAGGGCCAAGTTGGAAGGCTCAGGTGCCCTTGAGCGTGGGGCAGGTATGTTGGAGCCCTTCAGACCTCGTAGATTTTGTCCTGCAGGTAGCTGAATAGGGAATCCAGGCCTTTGGAAGAGCTCCAGAGCTGCTTCAGCATGAGGCACTCCTTCTCGTTCACATCTTCCAGCACTGACTTCAAGAAGCTCCGAACCAGACATTTGGACTCCTCTAACACCTGAAGGGAAATGCATAAGTCTGGTTAGCTGGCACCAGGGACTGTGTACGGGGCCAGTGAAGCTCAAAGACAGAGGAAGCCACCTCCATCAGTCTGGACCTGCCATTTTTCTTTTCCAGTACTGCCATGAATAGCTTCCAGATGACCAAGATGCTGAATCCTCCATCCCTGGGATGGCTGGGGGAACCATGGTACCCTAGGCCACAAGACTTTGTCTTTTACCTAAAGATAACACCAACATGGTGCCATTTGCTAAGGGTATTATGAAAAAGTATGAAAAACCTGTTTTAACCACCTCATGAATGGATTCATTTTCTAGATCTCAGTGTCATGGGAACACAGAACAAGGTGATGAAATGAACTACTGGTTGTCCAACTATTCATATGACTCACTCCAACAGCAATGGCCTTCTTTGGCTTAGTAGGAAGAAGAGTAGGATTAACAGTAGCAAGTAGTAACAATAATAATGAATAATAATTATACCAATCATCACGACATCACAATAATGGTTCTAATGAGTAGTAAGTGTACCAATCAGTAATAAGAATCATTGTCATGAATAATAATTATAGAAATCAAAGTAATAATCATAATACTGAGGAATTTAAGCAACCATAGTAATGAGCAATAGTGACAATAGCAACCACACAACTCATTGTATTAATGCATAATAATGACCATAGTAACAATGATAGTAACTGCCACAGTAATGAGTAATCATACGAATGCCAACTGTGGTAGTGAGCAATAGTAATCACAGGAATGAGTAAAAATAATTATAGCAATAATAACTACGTACTGTGATCGCCATTAACCGACAGGCTCCACGAGAAGTACTTCCGAATTCTCTCTTACTCCTCTTAACTTCATGTAGGTCCTATTTTTACCCCATTACAGATGAAGGACCTTCAGGAAGTAATGTGACCCAGGGCTGCCCGACAGCTTGGTGGTAGTGTGATGTGGCTGGGTAAACCTTAGTCTGACTGATCCCCATGGTACACTGCTGCCTCCCATAGAAGTGAGACCCTGGAGCATCTTTCTGCTGAGACCAAGGCTTAGATTCACACTGTCACTAAACACTTTCAAACTCAGAAAAAGCAAGAAGAGAGCTCCTGGGTACCAGTCAGCTGGAAGGATGCAGGCTAGAGGCTGTGGGGTGGTGGGAATGGCTGGAAGGCCTCCTTCTAGAGCGTCTCCTCCTGGGCATCTCTTCCTCCTAGGAGCGCCACCTTCCAGAGGCCAGCAGCTTCACTATGCTGGAGTAGATTTCCTTCTCAGAAAATCATCTGAAGCTCCTGGATCCCTGAGTGCCAAGGTTTGTTTGCATTGTTTTTCATCAATGGCCTCTCCTAAGAGTCTTTCCCTCTGGGTATCCTTTCACCAGCTGCTTCACCTGGGTATCTCCTCACCGCCCATAGACTGCACTGCCCACGGCAGCTAGGCTGGCCTCCCACCATCCTCCAGAGTTTCGCTGACCTTCTCATCCCCCATGTAAACCGACCACAAGCTGCTGCCTATCCTCCCCATGGACTTCTGACTCCTGCCCTCATGCACGCTCAGTGTCCTCTGAATCAAGCAGGCCTGTTTACCCAGGACTGCAGGGTTTGCTGGGATGCAGGGTTTTCAGTGCTAAATCCAGCAGTCTTGGGCAAAGTGGGACAAGCAGATCATTTAGTCATCAGGCAGATTAAAAGCAAATCCATGTAAGATTAGCAAGGCATGGAGCACATGGGTGTCTGAGTATAATCCAGAGAGTAGACCATCAGCACCCATAGTTGTCATCCTCACCAGTAAGCTTCTGGGGGAGCAGGGTGTACATACAATAGGTGCCCAATAAATGACTAGTGAGGAGATGATGAATAGATAACCAGAACAGGAGAAAGGTAGGGAGGTCAAGGGTCTGGCCCACAGACCCAATCCAGTTGTCCCCTGCTCCTGAAGCAGAGTGGCCAGGACCTTATCCTCCAGTACCTAAACTAGCCCAGGGCTCCAGGACAGTCTTTCCTTCCCCTTCCCCCAGGTTGTTCCCTTCTGTGCTTAGAGTGACTGCCAAGAGATAAATGGGACAATTAAAAACTGGAGCCTCTGTGGAGGTGTTACCTATCTCTTCTTTGGAGTACCTTCAATCAGGCAGTGACTGTCAGATGTGCCGGGCACGCGGGAACAGGATGAAATTCGGGGACAGTGTGTCCTGGGCTGGTTCTACACCCTGTCCTTTTCTTTGAAAGCTGCAGATGTCTTATGCTTTCGTGCATGTTCAGGACTCTGTCTTAAAGCAGCACACACTGCCCCACGGCACCAATCTCTCCTGTGAGGTTTTTCCGACTGGGTGTGAAGGAAAATAGGCAGCCATGCTGAGCACCTCCCCTCTCACCTAAGCTCTCGGCATCAAGAGCGATGTCTCCTACATTGCAAAGAGCCATTTGCCTACTCCCTTCATGACCTCTGGCAAGTCAATTAGTCCCTCCAAGCCCAGTTGTCCTCATCTGTAGAATGGGTCTAGAGTAAGGACAAGCACATGGGAGACAGGAACTCACCACGGCGCTGCAAGATGCCATCTCCTTGACCCGTAGCATGACCTCCTGGCTGAACGTGGTGGGCCAAAAGACCTGAGACACCAGGCCTCTGCTGCACGCCTCCTGGGCAGTGAGCTTCCGCCCGCAGAACAGCATCTCATTGGCCTGAAAGAGCAAGGGCAGGGGAAGGCTGAGGGCCCCGAGCTCTGCCTGCACCCTTTAGGGAGCTCTGGGTTGGCATGCATGGCTGTCCCTGCTCTCTGACACAGGATTCACAACTGAGGTTGGATACACTGTGTGAACTGCATGTGTGTGTCTCTCAGCTTTCATTCAATTCTCAAGAGGAGTCATGAAGTTATTGTAGCCTTGTCTGCCCCATAGCCCTCCCACAGCCTCCACTGACAAGACCCTCCATTAGCCTGCACTGAGGGCTGATACCCTGGCCTGACAATGGAGAAGGGCTCTTCCTTTCACCCCACTCCCCAGATGATTTCCCTCAGCTGTGAAGTTTGCCACTGCCGTACATGGTGCTATAGTTTGGATCTTAAGTGCTCCCCAAAGGCCCATGTGCTAAAGGCTTGGTCCCTAGCTTTGCACTCACAGGAGGTGGTAGAATCTGTAAGAGGTAGGGCCTGGTGGGAGGTTTTAGGTCACTGGGGTGTGTCCTTCAAGAGGATTTTGGGACCCTGGTCTCTCCTCCTCCTCCCTTCCTCCCTCCTTTCTTCCCTCCCTCCATCTCTCCTCAGCTCCTCGCATTTCTCAACCACCATTAGGTGAGCAATTTTGCTCCACCACCACACACAGGCCCAGAAGCAATGGGTCCAACCAATCATAGATTGGAACCTCCACAACTGAGTCAAAATAAACTTTTCCTCCTTAAAGTTTGTTATCTTAGGTATTTTATTACAGTAATTGAAAGCTTGCTAACACACACGATCTGGGAGGAAAAACTGGAAAATATCCTAGGCACAGACAGAGCTCATGGCAGTAACCAGCAGCAGCATAGAAACAGGTGATTCCCAGGCTGCTACAGGTCATGGTCGTGTGAGATAGATACCTGCTTCCCATGGCAGACAGTACCTTCCCTGCCTGCTGTACATCAACTTGCCTTTCCCTTCCTTGCTTTCCTGCTATCTATGCTGGCTACTCTTGGATCAGTGTTGAAATGCCAAGTTCACTGGCCTCCAGCTCTTTACACAAGTTGCCCCTTTTTCTCCTTTTGGTTGTCACTGATGACTTAGAGAATAATCTTTTAGGCTGGAGTAGAGGAATGTACTAGGTTGCTAATAAGCCCCAGTGTCTGTCTGCTTACAGACAGCATGTTGTTACACTATTCAGAAATTCCTCAGTCCCAGGAAGCAGAAATGAAGGGAACAGACTCAGTGGAAGAGCCACACAGCACACAGTCATCAAGACGAGCACGTCTCCATCAGTAACATTCATGGGGTTTCAGAAATGACTGAAATAAGAGACTGAGAGGAAGAGACAAGATTGCACAGTTTAAACATTTTTTTGTGACCACAAAAACAAGGAGGAAAAGTTGTAGACAGGGAGGTCTGGGCAGAGCACATGCCTGCCATTTAAAGGGAAAACGTTTGCCTCAGGGCTCAGTGTCCCCTGACTGTTCTGCTGTTGCTGAGACTGTGAGTAGCCCCACGCTTCCCAGAGACTTTGTCTGTCCCACCTATTGGCAATGTTGCATAGAAGAAGTGGTGCCTAAAATCAGAACAGGCCTCTGGGCATTTCCATACCACAGGTCACTGAGAATAGAATGATGTCTTCAAGCCCTCAGAGGAAGCTGTGAGACTCCTTGGGAGAAGCAGTGGCTGGCCCTATCTCCTCCAATAAACCAGGCTCAGATCCACCTTAACCTGTTCCTTGGTGGGTGCAAGGCACTGGTAGGGCCTTTGTTCAAATACGATGGCTTCTGGGCCACTTCAGACAGTGCCCTCTTTGAAGAGGAATACAGAAGACTAAGAAAGGGTGGTCTGAGTCTTGGGCGGCTGGGTGAAGGCAGGGTGCCACTGATAAGGACCAAAAAATCCCCCCAAAATCAACAAACAACCCACTGTAGACTGAGAAAATACAAACATAAAATTTAGTCACTAATGCATGACTCTGGGAGAATCACTTAACCTCACAAAGCTTCAATCCTTTCCACATTCCAGGTGCCTAAGGAGAGCACTGCATTCCTAGGATAGAGGCAGGATTAAGGGAGACAATGCTAGGACAGGACTTGGTAGAGGGGCAACAAAAGTTCATTATTTGTATTATGGTCAGTGGTGTCATTTTGTAAAAGGAGCAAGGAAGACTATTAAGGAAGCAGAAGGGATATGGCTTATTGGCCTCTTTCACTGTGGTAACCAAAGCAGGGCATTCAAGGTGATGGGCCTGTAGGTTCCCTGTGAAATCAGTGGGAGATGGAGACTCAAAGGGAGAAAAGGAAGAAACCCAGGAAGTTAAAGCCCTGTGCCCTCCAAGGGCAACGGGACTGCAGAGCACCTGGCTGGAGGGAGTGATCACAGCACTGAGTAAGTAGGAGCTGCCTTGGACAACCAGGAGTCAAGCTAAAGGTGGCTGTTTATCCTCCGGCAGAATCAGGAGTAGAAAGAAACACCCTGGAGTCCATTGGAAAAGAAGGTATAATTCACAGTAGTGTACGTGAGAACAGAAGGAAGGGAGCCACTCTCCAGAGCCCTGGAGGCAGGAACTCTGCCTCTGGGGTTGGAGGGTTAGCACTGTGGGTTGTGTTTTGGCTATTTGTAGGTCTCCCATGACATACAATGCCTGCTGGCAGGTGCTCTCAGCAGTCCCCAGACATTCTAGCCTGCTGTGCACGGCTCACGTCCTGTCTCTGGGTTGGCCTATTCACATCTACTGCCTTGTCCCAGTCTCCCTCCCTACCATCCTCACCTAATGCTTACCACCTTTCATTGCAAGGCCTGTTCAGCTTACTCCCTGCTCAGTCCTTCCACTGTGTCACCTGTGTCTGGAATGTGAGGTCATGTTCAAAGGTTGCTTTGTACAGGAGCCCTCCCTGTGCAAGTTCAGGCCACTGCCCAGGATGGTGAGCTGGGATACAGAGACCCAAAGAGCAGGACCCCATTTCCCTGAGCACCCCAAGTACCTGGTGGGTTGTAGTGTCCAGCATTGAATGGATTCTTAGCAAGGACTGAAGGGAGGGACTGACCAGCTACCCCCACCTCCAGAGGCTGCGGAGAAGTCAGCAAGAGGGAAGGAAACTAAGATCTTCCTCAGACCTGATAAACTCATGCAAACTGAGATCAGAGCCTGTGGTTAAGATCAGCAGAGTTTGGTCTGAGCATCAGGGGAGGCCTGTGAGCTGTCAAAGGATGCTGGATATGCTGCTGTACAGTGGCCCACCTACTTGGGCCAGCCACTCCTTCTGAACCCTCCCTGGGCTCTGTTAGTTTGAATCTCAGACTCAGTCCTTAGAAACGGGTCCTGCTTTATAACCCGCTGGGTAAGAGCACAAACTATAGAACTAGACTGTTGGATCCACATCCCATACGTGCATCCCACTGTGTGGCTTTTGATCATTCCCTTACCCTTCCTGAGCTTCAGTCTCTGCATCTGTCCTCTTGGGGCCTTGTCCAGCCCCAGCATACAGTGAGCACTTTGCATGTGCTGCTGTCAGCCACACATGCTGCCCAGACCTGCTCGCATGGAAGTCTCTGACTACAGCCCACAGTGGCCTTCATGTCCTCCCTCTGCCTGCTGACCAACCCGGTGATGTGGCAATTCTTCTCTGAGTTTAGCTTTGCATCTGTAAGATGACCAGTTTCCAGCAGGGGTGCAGGCCGCTTTGTGATCTTAGCAGTTCTTTCCATCCTCCTGCTTAGATCAAGTTGGGCCCTACTTCCCCACCTCCCCTAGAGGCCCATACTGCCACGTGATGGAGTCGTGGTCAGTGATGGAGAGAGGTGCAGAAGCACCCGCAGACCCGGCTCATAAAGACCTTCCTGGTGATCTTCTGGGTCTCTCTTGTAGCCCTACTAGATGGAAGACACCTGGTCACTGTAGGCCACTTCTGTACCCGTCTGCTCTGTGGCAAGAGTGAGATAGCAATTGTGCAGATGCTGAGATTGTGGGTTGTTGATTTTAGCTCTCCCAAAGACACAGCCCTACTGAGTTGTAAGGAAGGACTGAGACAATGTGCACACAGCACATGGAACAGAGTAGGGGTTCAATAAGTGGATACTCTTACAGGCAGATAGCTCAAAGGACCAAGACCACCAGGTTTCAGTCCCAGCTCCTCTGGGCAGCTGAGGAAGCTGAGACAGATTCTGCAGGTTGACAGCACTTTGTGTCCTAAATCCAAGATGAAGGGGTCCTGCAGGGGCTCAAATGCATGTACCAGAAAGGGAGGCCATCAGGGAAATGGGAGGCTTACCAGTGCCACACCCAGGATCTGGGGGAAGGTATAGGAGGAGCAGCCGGCAGGTGTGAGGCGGATGGTGGCGTAGGGCGTCTGGAACCAGGCTTTCTCGCTGGCCCACACAATGTCACAGAGGGGCAGAATGGAGGCGCCTAGGCCCAGTGCTGGCCCATTGATGGCCACCACAATGGGCTTCTTAAACTGGATAAAGGCCTTCACAAAGTCCCTGGAGGAGAGAGAAGACTTTTTTTAACAGGTGGCCTAAGCTTGCCAAGCCTCACTGGCACCCAGTTTTCCTAAGTACTATGATATATATCCTGGGCATCAGAGGTGAACAGGGACCAGGCAGGGGCCTCACTCACACAGACACCAAGCCACTGGGCGGCCAGATTTTCAGAGGGGACTGACGGTGTGGCCATGCATCCTTGTCAGCCCAGTCCATGCTGGATTTCCCAATGCTGCTCCCAGTTCCTATTACCTTCCTCCCACTGTCAAGAACCATGACATTGACAGTGAATTATACAGACACCTTAGATACTGACAAAGTTTTATCTGTTGAAGGAAGATGACCAAAATGTTATGGTTCCAAACCAGAATTAGAAATAGAAACAAAAGGTGTTCTACACAGGCAAACTCCAATTCAAAGAGAGAAGGAAAGTCTTAAAATCACTGACCCAAAATGGAATAGGGTAGCTTCAGGACCACTTTTAGCTTCATGGTCACTGTAAGCACTATTGAAAAGGATATTCAAACTTCAGATGGTAGGCAGGACTGGGGGGGGTCTAATGACATCTAAGATTTATTTCAATCCAGGGAGGGTCCCAATCTACAGGGAAAACAGTGTCACTGAGGGTGGTTCCACAACACTGATGAGGGTCTAGTATTATGATGTCTTTGACTGAAATTGGGAGAGGCTGCTGGGCTCCCCCAGGGGCATTAGACTTCTGCAATCAGGGCTAGAAGACGGGGTAGTATTTTCTCTCCCTGCCCTTCTGCATCGTGCAAGGTTACAGCATGCATCTGTACCTACAAAACAGAGTCACCTGCAAAGATCTCTACTTCCTTTGCCTTTCCCCTCATTGCTATATAAGATCTATAAAATTTTAATATTCATCTGGACATGGGGGAAAGATTCAAGATGCCTAGTAAAGTCAACCTTCAACATTATTCTCAGATGGAAGATTGAAAACTACCAAGAACCACAAGGATAAAATCCAAATGCCTGTGACCTTGGTCTACCTTGGATTACAGCTCTAGGCTTCTCTCATGTCACTCCTGACCCTATTCACTGTGCATAGCCACACTGGCCTCTGAGAGGTCTTAGAAACACTACTATCACAATGTGCAATCACCCTACTAATTATTTGCTTGCTTATTCACTTGTCTATGAATCCTTTTTCCATTTAGCTCCTTAAGGACACCCATAGGTATGCCTGGAGTACTGCTTGGCTTCCATCCATATTGAAATTAGCACTCAGTAAATGGCTGTTGAAGAAATACACATCTCCCAGAAGGAGAGCAGAGACTGCAGAAGTATAGTAATGACTGGCCAACTGTTCACAAAATTCCTTTTCCCTTCCTCCTTCTTCCTGGGACTACTGGTAGACCACATTGCCCAGCCTCTCTTGCAGCTGGCTGTGGCTGGGTCATCAAGGGCTTCCCAACAAAATGTGAGAAGACACAGGTATCACTTCCAGGTGCACACCACCCATCAACCATGAAGTCCTCCATAGTCACCTAGACGAACCCAACAGTCTAGGAAGAGGTGGAGGCACAGGATGGAAAGGTCTGGGTTTCTGAGTCACCATTTTGAGGACAGCCATGAGCTGATTGGTAACATGTGTTTTAGGCTTACATATGCAGGAAGCAAATTTTTATCACAGTTGAGCACGTCGAGCTGATTTATCCCTTCTCAGTTGCTATTGTTCCTCCCCTGAACTCTTATCAAAATATGTGGGTAAGGCCAGGCACAGTGGTTCACACCTATAATCCTAGCTACTCGAAAGGCAAAAATTGGGAGGATCATGGTTTGAAGTTCACAAACCCCATTTCAACCAATAAAAGCTGGTCACGGTGGCACACACCTGTCATTCAGCTGTGGGAAAAGCATAAATAAGAGGATCGCTGTCTAGGATGGCCTCGGCATAAACGTGAGACCCTACTCAAAAAAGAGCTAGAGTAAAAAGGGCTGGAGTGGTTCAAGTGGTAGAGCACTGCCTAGCAAGTGCAAGGCCCAGAGCTCAAACCCCACTACCACCAAAAAAAAAAAAAAAAGGTGACATCATTGTGATATACTGAGGTCAGAGACAACCGTGAGAAGACTGCTCCATGTTCTACTGGGCCAAGAATATCTAAAGATCTACATGAATTATCATGAAAGCCTTGCAGCTCCGACCCAGGCTTGCAGCATCACATTGCCTAAGATGGTGGATTCACCTCGGTCACTGCCGGCCCCTCTGCAGATGATCCCCCAAAAAACACAGCTTCAAAGGAAGAATCCTGGCACCATGGCTCTCTGATGCCTGGCTTTCCACTGGCTTCCCTTCCTAACCTCATGGTTAGATTTTAGGATAGGTTACAGGCTCATTTTTACCACTGTAATCTGGAATCTGCAGGGGTCATGGGACTTTTTGTAGGATCCTTGGATTCCCAGGGTATGGATGATTCTTAGCAGAATCCCATTCTGAGCCCCTTTAGACAAATCTAGAATCTTGAATCTCAGACTTGGGAAAGACTTTCAGAATGACTGAGCTGGACCTTCTCCTGGATATGGAATTCCCTCATAACATTCTGAGGATGCACCATCCGCCTTTGTCAAATGTTTCAACCACAGAGGGTCCCTGGCTATTAAGTTAGTCTCTCTGCCATCAGCCTCTCTGATGCAATCAGTCATCCACACGTCAGCCCTTCAGAAATGGACTGCAGCCCTTGTCCCCATCTGGAACCTTCCTTTTCAGGACCCCAGAGCCTTTCACTCTGTGGTTTCCAACCTATGCTCTGTGCAGTGGCAGCAGGGACCCTCAAGGAAAGTGACAGGGCTCAGGAATACAGAATTCCCATCCTCCCTACCAGATGCTCGATTTCATTCTAACCTGCCCCCATTTCATTTCCTTAATATGATAATGTGGTGTGAGGTCCTCCTCTCATCCTTTTTCTCTCACCTCAGGCAGAAGATCTCTATCACAAGGGCCCCATGAATGTGGGAGACAAACAGCAAACAGGATATTGCATTACAGACCTGCAGCTCAGATATCTGATCCGAGAGCAATGGCAGGGCTAGGCTCAGGATTGCTTGCTGTCATCCTGAGGGTCCAAGGCCATCACAGTGACCAGGCCTTCACAGCTTCCTCCTCTCAACCCAAGCCCTACCATCTGTTTCCTGACTGCGCTGGTGGGTTTCTCTCATGTGGCAGAATGGGCAGGAACTTCAGAGTCTGGCAGAGTCAGGGTCAAGTCTCAATGCTGCCATTCACTAGTGGAAGGACCTTGGACAAGTTGCCGGGCCCCTCAAGCCTCATTTGCTCCCTGTGTAAAATGGAAATGCCAGTGCTGGCTCCCCACAGGGCTGAATGAGAATCACATGAGACGACCCACACAGGGAACCAGCACGGTGCCTGATACACGAGGAATGCTCAATCAGGCTGTTATTATGGACTGTGCATCTGTACATGGCTTTCATCCAATGCACAGTGGCCTGTTATCCATTCACCCAGCCTAGTGGAGACTCAGAAGCAAAATTCTGCTCATGGGGATAACCAGATCTCACCTGGTAGCCTTTTCACTGCCAAGGCTCAGAGCCAGGTCAGCTAGTCAGGTCCTGCGAGCACCAGGCACACACAGTGACTATTAACCAAGCACCTTAGAGAGGTCTTCAGGAGCCTACTCCACAGTCAGACTCGGCTTAACTACAACTCGTGGCTGGAAGTAACAGCTGTCACAACAACAATAATAATTCTTTACGCCTGTTCTAAGTGCTAAGTGTGTGCCAAGAATAGTTCACATTGGGTATCTGATTGCTTTTCATTCTAGCAACCCTCCAGTGAGGCCAGGCCCAGTGTTTTGATGGCCCCATGTTCCAAATGAGCCAATAAACTTGTCAAGGTGAGTGACATGCTTAAGCATGCACCACATGCAGGCGCAGAGGTGGGTGAGAACTGGAGTGGCCGCTAGCCTGTGTTCAACCTGAATGCCACACTGAGTACACCATCCCAGTACGGGTGAGTGCCCCTCTCCCTCAGGATGGTCCTGGATGAAGGCTGCTGCTGAATGAGTCATTGGAGCTCTCTGACACCTGCTAGTCCATTCATGCAGCATCTGCAGAGGGAAGCTGGCACCTGGTCCTGTATGTGTTTTCTTTAAGCAAGGATGAGGAGCGGGTAGGAGTAAGGCTCAGGGCAGGCTGGGTCAAGTGATCAGTCCTGCAGAGCTCTTCCTAAGAGAATGGCAAGGGACGTCCACAGGCCAGCTGGAGATCAGGGACAGTCCATGTCCACAAGATGGTTCCCTGCTGGATTATGAATGAAGTTCTTTCCCAAGAGACTTCTCAGCCCATAAATAAGTTAATACACCTGGGAAAGGCCTTACAGCGTGGACCAAACTTTGTTCAAACACTGTGCACTTCGCTCGGTTCATTCGGGTACTTCTCTGGATGTCCACACTCTGCGGAAAACATGCCACTGCCACACCATGTGCCCAGCTCTAAAGAGTGTGCTCCCAGGGAGCCCTCCAAAAGTGGGGCAGCAAAGAGACTCCTTAGCAGGGTCTGATGGGAGAGCAAGGTCTCTCTCTGACCCAAAGGCACTCATCACTAAGTGGCCACATTGTCTGTGTCTCCCTCTGTCTTCCTACAAACCCCTTGCCCTGCTGATGTCTTGATCCTCTCCTTCTCCATCCCCTTATCCTTAAAACCACCTTTTCTCTCTTGCATAAGGGTCTTTCTCTTTTTCTGTTTTGGTGGATTGAACTCAGGGTCTTGTGCTTGCTGGGAAAGCACTCTGCCACTTGAGCCATGTCCTCAGTCCTTTTAGGTTTTTTTTGAGATAGGTCTTGTGCTTTTGCCTAGGACCATGATCCTCCTACCTCCACCTCCCAAGTAGCTGGCATTATAGATGTGCCTAGCTTATCCAGATCCTCTCCTCTCCTCTCCTAAGGGCAGTTCTCTTTGAAGTTGGAGCAAGCCCACTCTAATCCAGGATAATCTCATTTCAGAATTCAATCTTAATTACATTTTTAAAGACCCTTTTTCCAAATAAGGTCAGCTTCACAGCTCCTGAGGTTAGGATGTGCACATATCTTTGGGGGACCACCAGAGGTTTGTATGCTGGTGAGCTGTGTGTGCATGGATGGAAACCAGCAGCTACAACAGTGAATGCCTCAACTGAAATTCGTAAGCAGATGAAGACTACAGCAAGGCTTTCTGCCAGTCATAGAAATGGACACTCATTTTTCTAGGGTGCGTTCTATTGGTCCCATAAATGAGGAGAGAAGCATCTCTGGGGACTGTTCTGCTCCACTTGACTTATGAGAAGACACAGTGGAGAAGCAAGAACAAACTGTCATGGAAGGAGCCAGGGCTGTGCCCAGGAAGTCCAGGCGTAGTATAAAAGCCCCACACTGTCTCAGTACCAGTGTCTAGGCTTCTTGTGCTCCCTGAAAGAATTCTGCGAGAGGAAGCACATGGCTGCTTCCCCAAAGCAGAACTCGGAATTCCATACATGAGGACCCCAGGGTCCCCTGGACCTTTGTCCCTCAGCCCCCGTGGCCATGTGGCAATCAGCCTTGTGTGATGCAGCCACAGGACAGTGCAAGTGGAGGCCCCAGAAAATCTCCAGCACCTGACTCAAGGCTCTGTGACACCATGTGCAATAAGCATTCATTCCCAGGAGCCCAACGGGCATTACTGAACTGTCTGCTCCCTGAGCAAGGCATAATAGTGCAAGTGTCTGCCCTCTCTAGAGTGCTCACAGAGTGACAGCTGTCAATCACCTAAATAGCCCTGCCTAGAAATCACTCTTACTTGCTTTGAACCCTGCTGTAAAGAGCAGGGTGTGATGACCCTCCAGGTCCCAAAAGGGGCACTGAGTATTGGCACTGGACATCACCTTAGTTCCCCGCTTTTGCCCCAAAGGCAGTAAGACAGGGGGCAGTACCCCCACCTCATTGGGTCTGAAAATGCACAGCTGCCCAGGCCAACCCCACCCTTCCTATTATGGAGTCATGTCAGTTCCAGGACACAGAAACATCCAAAGAATTCCACCATCCAACAGAAGGCGGGAGTAGTGTGCATAATACATGGGCTTTACCAGACACAGGCCTTAAAAGGAAAAAAAAAATCTCCTTTTGATCGAAAGAAGGAAAATGAACTCTAACTTGGGGAGCAAAGTAGCCCTAATTTTGGCAGGAGTAGGGCTGTAGATTAAATTTAGGATGTTTGATGAAAAGTCAAAGCTCAGGTACACAGCAAATCATTTTAAAATAAAAGAATGTCCCAGGTAATGAATGCATGGGACATTCTTGTGTGAAAGCTTAAGATTCTCTGTTGTTTGAAATTCAAGTTTAACCGAGCAGCCTGTCTTCTTATTTGACAAATATGGCAGTAGGAGCCCAAGGTGTGGGGACAGAAGCTGGGCTCACCTAATGGCCTCTGCAATTCGAGTGCTCTCCTTCCTCCGGTCGCTGGACAGCCGGCCAATCAGGTAGGAATAGTCCAGGCCACTGCAGAACACGCTGCCCACTGCGCTGAGAAGCAGCAGCTTGCTGTCATCGGTGGCTGCATTGCACAGCGCTCGCCGCACCTCCTTCATGATCTGCAGGTACAGGTGAATTTGAGAGACATTAGTGTCTCTCCTGGAAGCCAGCCAGAGGCCTGGCCCACGCCCAGGGTAGAGCAAGCAAATCTGCTTCTGCCTGTGTAGGGAGTCTCCTCTGAATGCAAGTACACATCCAGGCTGAGGAAGGCATCTTATCAAAACCAAAGCCTTCCAGCACCATCCCCAGAACAGGAGGAAGGGCTAACAGAGAGGCCCTGTGGTCACTGGCTTGGGTCTGGGAACCTGGCTGAGAGTGAGTCAATTCCTACAGATCTCTGCAAAACCCGTTTCTGGCATTTGCTCATTTGAGCCCTTGACAAGATGTGGAAAGATATTCCTGTGCCCAGCCCACGTGAGACCCCCAATCCCTTTCCAGTGGCTCAACTTCACTGTACTCCTGCTCATCCTGAATGTAGCCTGGACTTCCATGTGGTTGTAGGTGGCCCATGGTAAGTGGACTTCAACACCAGAGCTGAACCCTCCGGTCCAAACTCTGGCTTTTCCATGTGCTAACTATGGGGCCTGAGGATTGCTGGTCACACACAGCTCTTGGTCTTGCAGAAGTGGGGAATCACAGCACCCACTTTCAATGGCCACAGTAAAGAATAAGTGACAGAAGACACTGTGGCTCTCTGCAGGCTCACATTCCTGTCAAGTACGGTGAATTCTGGAAAAAAAGCATCTTGTTCCTCCTAGTCACACCACTAATGGGGACATTCTACTTATTATAACCCACTATACTGTGGTTTTAATAATGACAAGAATGGTGCCTTATTCTTCACTGTATTCGTGAAGCCTAGCACAGTGCCCAGTATACAGTGAACACTCAATAATTGCTTGTTTCAGACACAATAGCTCTCTTGCAGCCTTTCCCCCAACCTCAGGAGAGAAGTGACCAGTCTGCTTTCTCCCACCTAGAAGCCTTCAGTGCAGGCAAGGCCACCTCTTGATGCACCTTGGCCCTTTTACCTAAGGCCCTTCATGAAATGGCAGTCTGGCTGTGGGAGTGACAGGGTACAAGTTTTGCCATGCACAGCAGAGAGCAAAGCTTTCTCCCTCTCAGACTGCAGAGGTTATCCAGGAGCCAGGTCTGCAGATGACGTCCTGCCACACACATGCTGGGTACAGAGGCCAAAGCAGCTTCCAGGACCTCGAAGGCTGACCAATAGGTGAACTGACCCCCTGTGGTCCTTCACACTCTCTGACTCCTTCCAACTGCAACCCTGCAGTGAACACCATCCACACTGCCTACACAATTTCTTGGTAGCCTGGGCATTCAGGATGGCACACAGCAGGATGGCTACACTGCAAAACACAGGCTGAGACAGGAAGAAAGTCTGTGCCAGAATCTACTCCATCATTCACTAGTCCAGCCCCTCTGCCACCTGTCCCCCACACCACAGTCAGAACAAGGCACTCAAACAAATTTCTTACAGGAAAACTCTCCCTTGAGAACACAAAATTCCAAGTCTGCTCTTTGCATGAAGTGCTGAGTTATCATACCATATAGCAGAGAAATACCCAAGTTAAAAAATAACATGGAAATTGGACATGGTTTAGTGATATCCCTGACACATTTCATTGAAAGAAATGTAAAAGTAGTCTGGAGAGAAACTGAAACTTAGACTGCATGAGAACTACACAGGAAAAGAATCCCTACTGTGAATGAGCTCACAATCAAAAATCACAAAACACTAAAGGAAATCAGCATACTCAACAAATGGGAAGGCTGCACAACTTTAAGTAATATTGATCTAAAAGATTATAAGGTACAAATGTTGAAGATAACCCAAGAGAAGAAAGGAGACATGAACAAGAAAGAAGAAAAGAAAGAAAGAAAGAAAAGAGCATGGAGAGAGAAATTTAAGGGGAATAAACTTCTTGCAATGAAAACCAAAGTTGATTATCAACTGACTAAATGGAGCTAAAGGGAGAATAATAAGTAACAAAAGATCTGAAGCAACTGCCCCAAATCTACAACAGAGAAGCAGAGATGGGAAATATGAATGGGAGGGAAAAAACAACTAAAGTCACAGTTTGAAACGGGTGCTGCAGGAGTTTCCTCCAAAGGCCATGGGGAATAGGGTGGGGGTGGTAGGGTGGAAGATCTAAAGAGATAAAGGATGAGAGCTCAGTAGAAGACAGGCTTTCGGGGAGGTGCCATTTCCCGTCTTCCCCATGTCTATAGGGCACCTGCATTCCTAGGCTCCTGACCTCCTTCTACCCTCAGAGCCAGCAATGGCCAGCTGAGTCCTTCTCACCTTTGATTCACGTTGTGTCACTTGATGATGACTCTCCACATCTTCTTCTACTCCTAGGACACTGTGATGACATTGGGCAAAAAATCTCTTCATCTGATAGTCAACTGATGAGCTTAACTCCTTCTGAAACCTGAACTCCCTGACATGGAGGCTAACATACATATCCATAGGTTCTGGGGATTAGGACAGGGACATCTGTGCAGAAGGGATATTAGTCTACAAAAAACAGACCTGAATTCTGAAATCTAAGAACTACCACAGAAATAATAATAAATAGATTATTATTGATCTACATTAGATCAAGGGCAAACACAACAAGGGGATTGGACTATGAGCACATGATAAAAGCGAGAGCACACAAGGGAGGGGTGAGGATAGGTAAGACACCTAAAAAATTAACTAGCATTTGTTGCCCTTAACGCAGAGAAACTAAAGCAGATACCTTAAAGCAACTGAGGCCAATAGGAAAAGGGGACCAGGAACTAGAGAAAAGGTTAGATCAAAAAGAATTAACCTAGAAAGTAACACCCACGCACAGGAAATCAATGTGAGTCAATGCCCTGTATAGCTATCCTTATCTCAACCAGCAAAAACCCTTGTTCCTTCCTATTATTGCTTATACTCTCTCTACAACAAAATTAGAGATAAGGGCAAAATAGTTTCTGCTGGGTATTGAGGGGGAGGAGCGGGAGGGGGTGGAGTGGGTGGTAAGGGAGGGGTGGGGGCAGGGGGGAGAAATGAACCAAGCCTTGTATGCGCATATGAATAATAAAAGAAAAAATAAATAAATAAAAGAGAAAAAAAATAAGAACTACCACAGAAATAATAATAAATAGATGCCTGAACACACTGTTCTTAAATTTCACAACAGCAAAGGCAAAACAAAATTAAAGCTTAATTAATCCAGAGGCCAAAGAAAGCTTACTCAAAAGGGTAAACTAGGTGTGACTAGGTGTGGTAGCTCACACCTGTAATCTCAGCTCTTCTGGAGGTAGAGATTGGGTAGAAATTGAGATGGTTCAAAGCCAGCTTTGGAAAAAATTAGTGAGTACCCCCCCCACCCCAATCTCAACAAACAAGCTGGGAGCAGAGGTGATTCCCTTCTGAAATCCTAGGTACAAGGGAAGCACAGACCGAAGGCTGGTCCTGACCTAAAAGTGCAAGACCTACTTGAAAAATAACTAAAGCAATGAAGGGTGGAGGGTGTGGCTCAAGTGGCAGCAAATATGAGACCCTGAGTTCAAATCCCAGTGACACACACACTCCACATACATACACACACACATAAAAGAGGCAAACATTTGATTCAAGGCACAAGTCTAAAAAACAGAAATAAATGCTAGATGAAGGTAACAAACCCTGCTTTGCAAGGTGTTTCACCTAACTAAATTATCATTTTCAGTACAGTAAAATTTACCACACACTTAGATCCTCATAAAATAACAAAAAAGGAGTGTACTTCAAGAAGAAGAAAGCTGCATTCAGAAGGAAAAACTAGGTATGAGGAATGCCAGACTTCAGCAAGGAAACCAGAGCCTGAGCTGTCAGTCAACGCAAGAACAACCACAAACACACCGCTATGGTCTGGGTCCCATGCTTTCCCCAAGGACTTGGTCTCCGGCCATGGTGCTGACGAGAGGAGGTGAAACCTTTAGGAAGTGGGGCCTCATGAGAGGAAGTGAGGGCACTAGGGTCAGGCCCTTGGAGGGATATACAGCCTCTCTCTCTGCTTCGCTCCACCCACATTCCCTGCAGGCCCAAAAATGATGGGGTCAAGTGGTTATGGACTGAAACCTTTGAAACCATGCACCTAAATAAACCTATAAACCTTTTCTCCTTTAAGTTGTTTGCCTCAGGTATTTTGTCACAGCAGCAGAAAGTTGACTAACAATCAAGATACTGGTACTGACTAATTTGAGGGAGGGACTCTGTGCAAGGTAAAGTGTACTAGCTGCCAGAAGGTTGTGTCAGATGAGAGTGGGATTGACTACAGACAGAGCATGCTAAGGTTATCTGTCCCGGGGCAGTGGGACGGGATAATTACATTTCAGCTTTGCTATGTGTACACAATTTAAAAACATACGAATTACAATGAATGGGAGAAATAAGGAAATCTCAATCATTCTATTCAAGAGACGTTAGGGAAGGAGAAAGATACATGCAGAAGGCACGTGGTAATAGAAACCCACGTGGTAATACTCACCTGGATGGGGCTTAGCATCTAACAGAAGAGACGGTATGCAAGCAGGATTAAAACAGGATTCATGGAATCATTAATGATTCAACAGGCATAATATATGGTCGGGGCGAGTTGCTCTGAGAGCATTACTTTTTAAACTACATTTTAAAAGAATGCCCACTTATTTGGGGTTTGGCTTGTTCTTGTTTTTCTGGGAGTTTGAGGTGCACCATTAAGCTATTTATTTGAGATATCTGGTTTTTTTGTTTTTAATGTAGGCACTCAGCTCTAAACTTTGCTCTTAGTGCTGCCTTTGCTGTATCCCTGAGGTTCCGGTGAGTTGTGTTTTCATTTTCATTAGATTCTAGGAATTTATTAAGCACCTAGAAAAGCCAAAATTGCATCAAGCAATTGTAATGTTACATTCCAAATGAGAATGAGACTGGGAACAGCATCCCAGTATGCAGGAGAAGCAATGACACCAGAAAGGTGAAGAGAGTTGCCCATGGCCATGCCAGCAAGAAGCAGAACTGTGGTTCTAATCTCACCTCCAAACCCTTTCACTTTCTGTGACTCCATCCTGTAGGATGATTTAGCTAAATGGTTGCACTTCTGGGGAGAAGGGAGGGCCAGATGTGGGTCAGAATGGAGAGCCAGATGTGGGTCAGAATGGAGACTGTCCAGGACTGAGCCTGGATGGACAACAAGAGGAGCACAGACCTCACTAGCAAGGCACAAACCATATATGTTGATTCTGAACATCGAAAAAGCGAAGTCAGTCCTGCAGGTCCTTTAACCCATCTGCCTCCAGAAACAGACCTGTTTTCACCTAGCTATGAACTCTGCTGCCCTGAGAGGCAAATAAAGGAAAAGCCTACAGCAAAGAGATAAGCTACACCTCCACACTGACTTGGAGGGGAGCCTCTCTGCCCAAGGCCAGGCTCACTGGTAAGTTAGTGAAAACAGAGCCAGACAAGGACAGCGCCACCTTTATGAATCAAATCAAAACTAAATTTATGTTTTATTGATACAACAAAAGTGCAGACTATATTATTTCTTCATTTAGAAAAAGTTATACCTAAGGCCAGCAGTGGTGGTGCACACCTGTAATACCAGCTATTGGGAGGTAGAGTAGGATTGTGGTCTGAGGCTAACCATGAGCATAAAGCACAAGACCCTATCTGAAAAATAACCTAAAGCAAATGGAGCTGGGTATGTGGCTTAAGTGGTAGAATGCCTGCCTAGCAAGCACAAGGCCCTGAGTTCAAACCCCAGTACTGCCAAAAAAAAGAAAACAACACAGAAAAAGTTACACCTAGTTAACACATCTTCCCTTTGCCTTTTTAATTTGAACAGATAGTTGTCTGAGGTTCTGAAGCAGGCTAAAATTAAGGAAAGGTCAGGACTCATACAAAGTTAATATTGCATTTTGGACTGACCACGCTCTGGCTCAGGGGCCACACTCACCTGGCCTGGGAACCACCCATGCCTCTCCCACTCACTGACTATTGGATGGGAATCACTGGTTCCTCCCTTCCCATAGGTTATCGTAAGTTTTAAAAGCACCTGGAGAAGGGAAGCACACTCACTCTGCCTACAGATTCCACCTGGGTCCACCATGCTCCCTTTGTATTTCCCTTCTCTAACTTTTAATAAACTCCATTCACACCCATGTGTCCTGCCATGGACTCTTTCACGTGGGACACAAAGAATTTGCAAGTCTTCTGATCAGACTCCACCACTCCACAGACTCCCACACTTCCACCCTCCTGAAAGAGCCCAAATTGTATAATGTAACTGGTGTATTTAAAGTAAAATGTTCTAAAATTACTCCGTGCTCTTTGGTCCTCTTACACAGAATATACTGGTACATGGGATCTAATTTTCCATGGTCACCTGCTGGCCTATAACAGATTGATCCACCTTAGAAGCCCTTCTATATGACTCTGTAACAAACAGTCACAGATCGCTGTGCACTTCGAAGTCCTAAATGCATCCTTTGCATTCACTGCTTTGTCAGGTCCTCCCGGGCTGCTGCTGCACCTGCTGTTTGCATCTGCCAGAGCGAGCCCTCTCCCCCATACCTCCAGCTTCTGGCCTGCCCTGGCTTGGAACGAGGTAACCAAGTTCCCCCCATGTGGGTTAGAAAGCAGAGTAGAACCACAGTCCCTGTCTGCACTTAATATGAACTGGCTGAGAGCTGGTCAGCTCCGGCCATCACAAAAGTGGCCACTTCTACAGGGGACTTCCCCCACTCCCTGTACTTTCCTACACTCTCCCTCTCCCATCCTCCCAAACTCTAAAACCACATTGTGAGGCTCTGTGCACATCCTCACCTGTCCACAGCAGACCCCAGCCTCTAAGATGGACCCCACTCACCATTTGCTGGAATCCACACTCTTCTGCAACACCCTTCCCTTGAGAAAGGACCTAGACCTCGTGACCTGCTTCTACCAACATGCCAGAGTGATGGGACGGGACTTTTTAGAGAAGGCCACAGCTACAACTTGGCCATCCCCTCGTGCCATCTCTCCTTGGTCCTCTTGCTCTGTGGGAAGCAAGCTGGGTGGGATAAGTTGCTCTGAAGCCTACATAGCAGGGAACCACATTGTCAGCCAGTGAGGACTGAGGCCTGCCAATCCCCATGTAGGTAAGCTTGGAAGGGGACCCTCTGTCCCCCAGCTGAGCCTCCCATGAGACTGCAACCTGTGGGAGACCCTGGGTTAGAGGCTTCCAGTGAAACAGCACCTAAATTTTCCAACCCACAGAGATCACACCATAGGAATGGCTGTTGTTTCAAGATGCTAAGTTAAGGCAGCTTGTTACACAGCAATTGACACCTAATGCAATCCCTCAAAAGTTAAAGTGGTACTTAACTCCTCTGTGTACCCCATACAGCATGTAGCCGCTGGGTCAGAGACCTTCATGCCATGGAATTTAACTAGTATCTACCGAATTGAGGGTAGGTGGTCTTTACCCCTCTAGGATGTGCAATCTAAAATACCACACAAATACATGTCCATTAACAACTGTGAAGCTGCCTAAGGGAGGTGTGGTGGGGGTTGGGGAGAGAGAGAGAAAGAGAGAACACACACCAAGAACTTCTGTACATTGAGGGAAGCCTTTCTACCAGGTGACAGATAAGCTGAGATCTGAAGAAAGAACAGGAATAATGAAACGTGACAGAGGCTGGTCTAGTCATGGGGGTGGGCACATGCAAAAATGCCAAAGCCCTACAGCAAGTGTGACAGGAAAGAAAGCCGGGTGATTGCAGTGCAAGTGTGATAGGAGGTGTGCAATGAGGTCAGATTGCACTGGCCTCGCAGGACACAATGAGGGCTCTGCTTGTTAACAGAGTGATCGGGAGTCATTGACACATTTTGCACTGGGTGTACTGATCAGAGTTACATTTCCAGCAGATCTTTTTTCCTGCCTTACAGAGAACCAATTACAAGGGAAGCATAAAAGTGGGCAGAGCTGTGAGTGGGTAATTACAGAGGTCCAGACAAAACAGTCTACTACTTTGGACTTTAGTAGCTGAGATGAAAACAGAAACAAACACAGCAGAGAGTGATTCAAGAATGAAAGTTCATGTCTGTAATCCCAAATACCCAGGAAGCAGAGGTAGAAAAAATCTCAATCTGAGGCCAGTCTAGGCAAAGTTAGTGTGAGACCCTATCTAAAAAACAAACTAAACAGAAAAAAACTTGTGTGGGGGGGGCGTGACTCAAGTGGTGAAGCACCTGCCTAGCAAGCTCAAGGCCCTGAGTGATCTCCAGTACTGCCAGAAGGGAGGGAGGGAAGGAGGAAGGGACAGAGCGAGGGAGGGAGGAATGGAGGAAGGAAGGATGGAAGGAAGGAAGGAAGTGAGGGGGAGAGAAAGAAAAAAGAAAGAGGGAGGGAGGGAGGGAGGGAGAGAGAGAGAGAGAAAGTTAACAGGCCTTAGGGAAGGCTTGGATGGGGAGGGCAGGACAAAAGGGGTGACCTGTCCCTGTGGATGCTGGTGGTGATGTTGGCTGGGGCTGAGAGCCTTGAAGGAGCCAGGAACAGGGAACAGTTCAGGATCCTCTCCTAGTAGGGAAGTGGACAAGATTTTAATCATGAACACTCTGTACCACCTGTTTACTGGCTCTTTTCCGGGGACATTTTTTGTTAATCTTCCAGTTCTCTGCTACTTTCTAGGCAAGAGAAATATAATAGCATACCCACTGGCCTCAGAATCTGGGGGGGTACACCCAATAATGTATGAATTTCTACGTATGGCCAATCCAACCAATGTCACATGTACAGGCAGAAAACAAACTGGTTGCCTCCCCTGTGCCCGGAGCTATGGGGGCTCGCATGCATCCTCTCTAGTCACACAGAAGACACTGTCATTTCTGTAAATGAGCAAGCTCAGAGAAGCAGAGTGATTTCCCAAGGTAACAGAAGTGGTGAGCTGGCAGAGGCAGGATTCGAACCCTGGCTTTCTAGACTCCAAAATCTGCATTCCTTCTCTAATACTACCTCTTCCTTTCAGTGCTATCTTTCTTTTAGGGCTACCTTACCCAGGCAGCCAGCTCACTCACATCGTCACTCCACTTTGCTTGGCACAGCTGAATTTCCCAGATGGGTAACTCTTTCTCTTTCCCTCCCATTCTCCAACAGAGCAACACTGATTAGGAATGGATTCCCCACCCCCACATCAACTCCACCCACAACTCGGCAGGTAAGGCCTGGCCCACTGCACATCAGTAGCTCACAGTACAGCTACTGGGGTGGGTGGACAGCAGATACCATGCAAAGCTGCTCACAGAGGCAGAATGAACCAGGAGGTACCACTTTTACTCAACTTATTGAGAGAAAATGCTGTGCCTTTTTAAAGCACGCTTTAAAAAAATGTAGTCAAGTAGAAAAAAATCCAAGAATTGGTCTCATGCGGCCACATCATGATGAGCCTAAAGTAATGGGTTTCCAGGCATGTGAGCATGGGCAGAGCCCCTGGGTAGAGCTCATATCTGGACTCCTCCAAGTCCTACAGAGAATCCCTACAGATGGAGGAGGAGGGTTCCCCAAAATGCCAAGCTTACAGGACAGCCAACAGCAACCACAAGACCCCTAATCTCCAAAGGCATCAGTCATGGCTCCTCCTTCATGATATGTCAGTCATTCCAGACTGTCACGCCCACTGTGCCATAAAAGAACCATCATCTACGTAAATAAGACACATGATCACAAGTTGAAGGACACAGCACTTCCTAACTCTGTCCACTTCCTGGGCTCCCTCAGTGTGCTAGATCCTCTGGGCAAGGCCAGGCAAGTCTATGAATCCCAACCCGGATGAGCAGGTGTCCCTTTGCTATGCCCACTGTGACTTGTCTATCACCTTCCCTGTCTCCACTGCTATCATGGACAAGAGAGTGCAAGAACAGAAGAGGTTTGGAGTCAGCAGTCCTCCCCCACTCCCCACCCACCCAGCCTGTGTCCTCCATGTACCTCGGGTGTCAGCGAGTTGTTATCCGAGGTCTGGCTGGAAAGCAGGATGTGCGTGAACCCCTCCTCCTTCCGTACGACAATGTCTCGAAACCGACAGTTGCTTTCATTCTGACGGACGCTATACCTGAGCCTCTTGTCAAAGACATAGTCCTTCTCCGCCTCCAGCTTCCTCTTCACAGAGCTGTGCAGGTTCAGGCTGCCGTTGGTCAGAGCAGAACCTTCCAAAGTCAGACAAGCAAAGTGAGAAACTGCAAAGGCCACAACTCACAAGAATGCAATCAGAGAACTCTAGACTTTTGATGGAAAGGCTCAGGTGTGGCTGGGAGCCATCTATGTTCTGGCGGTGGAAGGATGAGGGACCTGGAGCTTAACTGCTGCATCTTTAATTCAGAAGAGGACCTAGGAGCCTCTCAGGGAAGGGCCTCACCCCCTCCCCAGCACATCAGCCTGTGAGTACCCAACTTCTACTTGGAGTCTTAGCAACCAGGAACCCACTGAGCTCTGGGGAGGCTGACCTGCCCAGTGGCAGACACTCTGACTGTTAGAGGATCTGTAGCAACAGCATTACTAGCTGCCAGCTTTATCTGACCTGTGCTATGCACTAAGCACCATCCCCAAACCCCTCATAGCACCATCCCACTCAATACAAGAGCCAGAGGTGGGCTCTGAGACTTCAGGGCTTCCCTGATGGCCACGCCAAGCTGAAAACTGAGGAGCAAGCAGGGTCCCTATGTTCCCCTCCTCTCCTTGTCCAAATCAATCAGAACAGCACTGAGTTTTTACCTTACATCTCAGCATTCACAAATGGCCAGAGTGCCTTGGCAAGAAAGATCTGAAGACTAATTAACAAACTGATCCAAGCATATGATAGTTCTTAATCTCCAGGCTCCCAGGAGTCTCCTGGGGTACTCCAAGAAAGCATGCCTGTGCCCAGGCCCCAAATCTCTGCCCTGAGCAGGTCTGGGAAGAAGAGCCCATAGGAGCTTTGAAAATACTTGCCAGCCAAGGCAAGGAGAAAAAAGAGAAGACACAAATCACCAATATCAGTGACGAAAGAGGCTCACCACTTTTGACCTATGGACATTGAAAGGATAATAAGGAAATACTATGAATGACTCTCTACACATTTATTTGAGAGCCTAGATGAAATGGACCAATTTTTTGGCAGACATCAACTTCCAAAATACACACATGGGGAAACACATCATCTGAATAGACCTAGATCTATTAAATAAATGGAATCAATAATTATTAGTCTTCTAAAGGAGAATTCACTAGGCCCAAGTGAATGGTATCAAACATTTATGGAGGAAATATACCAATTCTTCACAGTCCATCCCAGAAAACGCTTCCCAACTAATTCCATGCGTCCTGCATTACCCCAGTACCCAAACAAGATAAAGACACCATGAGGAAAAAAAAGGAATTCTCATCAATATGGATGCAAAGGTCTTCAGTGAAGGGTTAGGAATCAGTGCCAACAACATAAAGTATACACTACGAACAGGATGAAAAGCTGGCTTGCCATCTGAAATCCAGTTGGCGTAATCTATCGCATGGGTAGAATAAGGAAGAAAAATCATAGGACAGGGTCAGTCGATGCACAGAAAACACGTGACAACTTGATAAAGAACAGCTACAAAATGCCTACAAGCTAACATCACAGGTAAAGGTGGGAGACTGGACACTCTTCCCTCGACATCTGAAATAAGGAAAGGAAAGGAAGCCCTAACTCTAAGTGCACAAAGGAAATAAAAAGCTATAGACATTGGGAAGGAAGATGGCTTTCATTTATGGATGGCAAGACTGTCTATGTGGAAAGCACCAAAGAGTCAAGAAACTGTCCATTCCTGGAATGAATAAGCAAGTTCAGCCAGGTCACAAGATACAAGGTTAAGAGACAAGGCAGGTACTTTCCCATGTACCGACAATGAGCAATGGACTGTTGACATTTAACAAACAATACTATTTACAACTGTTTCTACTACTTACAACAATGTGATTTACAACAGCATTTACAACACTATTTAGTAGATATTGTACATATTGTCAAAGCAATCTTAAACTTTCTTTAGGAAGGAAAAAGACCTAAAATAACCAGAATAACACTACAGACTATGAATAAACTTGGAGGACTCCCATCACCCAGTTCCAAGATTTCATATAAAGCTACAGTAATCATGGCGGTATGGTACAGGGAAAAGAATGGACACACAGATCAATGAACAGAAAACACCAAGAAACAGACACACACAAATACAGGCAAGCCATCTTCAGCAAAGAAAGGTCAGTTCAGTAGAGGAATGGCCATTGTTTTTAGCAAATGGTACTAAAACAAACAGATGTCCATCTATGAAAGAAAAAAATGAATCTAGACACAGACTTCATTCCTTTTGTAGATTTAAAAACACCCTCAAAATGTAGCATTGGCCCTAAATGTAAAATGCAAAACTTCTAGAAGGTAACCAGATAAAACCCTGGAGACTTTGGGTTTGGCAATAAGTTTTTAGATCCAGCACCAAAAACAATTTCCATGAAATAAAAAAAAAGTATAAGTTGAACACTATTAAAATGAAAAACTTCTGTTCCCTGGAGGGTCAGCAAGGAAATCAAAGAGATAAGCCATATACTGGGTGAAAACATTTTGTAAAATATGTATCTGAGAGGTTCTGTATCCAAAAATACAAAGAACTCTTTAAAGGGAGCTGTAAAAAAACCAAACAACACAACTTAAAAATGGGCAAAAGATTTGAAGATACACCTGACCAAAGAAATTACCGAGATAGTACGTTGAAAAATGTTCACCATTGTTTCCCATTGGGGAATTAAAACCCACGTGGCTGTCATCACCATACACCGGATCACTCACGTCCCACAACATAACACCACCAGTCGGGAGTGAGGAGATGGAACGACAGGGACTCTCATTCACTGCTCATGGGAATACAAAATGGTACGGCTGTTTTGGAAGGCAGTTTGGTCCCTTCCTCAAAAGCTAAATATACGAGTTAGGTATATGAGCAGTCACCATGTCTAAGTATTTGTGTGGTAAGACTGGAAATCTTATACCCCTGAAACCATATGAAACACGCAAAAAAAAAAAAAAAACCCTGCAAATTTATCCGCAATTGCCAAAAGTGGAAGTAACCAATATTTCCATTTATGGGTGGACAAATGGACACATCTATATAATGGCAGATTATTTGGTGACAAAAAGAAACCAGGCATCAAGCCACAAGATCCAAGTGAATTTTAAATGCATACAACTAGGTAAAAGAAGCTATTGTGGAAAGTCAGAACATTGTATGATTCTGATTATATGACATTCCAGAAAAGGCAAAACTGTGTAAACGGTAAAAAGATCAGGGGTTGCCAGGGGTAGCTGAAACACGAGGGACTTTTTTTAGGACAATAAAATGATTCTTTATGATACTCTAATGGAGAATAAGACATTAAGCACTTGTCAAAAACTGAAGAATCTTGCAGCTCACAGTGAACCTGAAAGTATGCAAATTGTAAGATATCATTTAGGAGGTTGATGGAATGCTGACTGTCACAAAAGAACCTTAGGGTGTCAAATACATATGAAACGACCTCAAGGAACGTTGCACGAAAAGGTGGCGATATACGTAACTTCAGAAACAAGAGTCTGTAAAACTAAAAAGGAAAAACAAACCATCCGTGCTCCATACTCGGGACAATATGCAGAGTCCCTCAGAGGTATGGCCTAACAATTTTGACACCACTGCACTCGTGTACCGCTGTTGAGCAATTCGTCAAATGGGTAGCAGGCTGGGGAACAAGGTTGTCACCACTGCAGTGGGAGTCACAGGTAGGCAAAGGAAGGAGGTCACAACAAGCCATGTAGTGATGGGTTAGATTTACAGACATCATGAGCAAACTCATGCTCAGCTGATACACATATGATACCTACATATGAGACTGTTTGTAGGTCAGTGCATATACACAGGTTAGTGCACACAGGTGTGCCTCCTCACTCTGTCACCTGAGAGCGCCCAGAATCAGTGATGTCCCAATAGCAAAGAGCACAGGCTGAGCCCAGATCTTGGCCTCCATTACCATTCTCAAGAAAAGGCACCAGAACCAGATACCAGTGGCTCACACCTATAGTCCTAGCTACTCAGAAAAAAGAGATTAGGAATGTGGTTCGAAGCCAGCCCAGGCAAAATAGCTCACAAGACCCTATCTTGAAAAAACCTATCACAAAAAAAAGGGCTGGCATGGAGGCCCAAGTGGTAAGAGCACCTGCCTAGCAAGGCTGAGGCCCTGTGTGCAAACCCCAGTGCTGCCAAAAAGAAGAAAAAAGAAAAGGCAACAGGGATCCCCAGAGAAGGGGCTGACTCCAGAGCTAGGCAGGAAACCTGCATGATGAGCTTGTAGGACCAGAATGGAAGACACACTCAAATACAATCAAATAACACAACCCCACAAAAATGGCACTATTAAGAGGACACAGGAGCCACAGGAGAACTGCCTACGATCAACAATACAATTTAGGCAACAAAATGAAGAAGCATTATATTGTAACTGAAAATATAAAATAGCTATCCATGAGTCCATACTGACACCAATAAAGGACTGAATAAATAAATCAATGCCAAAGGAGAGACAAATCTCCCATGCAGAATTCTAAGTAATTCATGTAAATACTCCAACATCAAGGCATGGACTCTTATGTCTTCACTCCTTAGGTGTGACCTATGAACACTGGCTTCCTGCTCAAGAGGACAGTATAGAAAAGAGAAGGTGCATAACCATAAGGTAAGGAAGCAAGGCCAACATCAGCAGTCAAGGTCATGTCCACAGTACATACCTGTGATATGATGTGATGACAAGGATACTAGTCCTCTTAGGGTCTTCCCCCAACCCACAATCCTAGCGTGATCATGAGAAAACCATCAAACAAATCCCAATGGAGGGACATCCTACAAAACACCTTGAATTTCTTCAAGTCTCTGAAGGTCACCAAAAAGAAAGAGCTGGACAAGGTATTCACACCTATAATCACAGCCTCGGGGAGGATGTGATTCAAGGTCAGCCTGGGCAAAAACTTGATGAGACTTCATCTCAACCAACAAGTTGAGCATGCTGGTATGCACCTGTCATCATAGCTGCTGAGGAGCATAGGGAGGAGTATCATAGTTCAAGGCCAACCTGGGCAAAAGTGCAAGATCCTATCTGTAAAATAAATTAAAGA